CACTGGCTCTGCCAGGGACACTGACACTAATGGCCACATTTGCTCCAGCCCACCGGTACCGTGTTCCCGCTCATGATTTCCCGACAACTAGCGAGGCGAGTGGACGCACACTGTTCTCATCTCTGCTGTCATCCTTTTCACCCTGGACTTCCACTTAACCTGCTCTCTGGGGTGAATCGTAGATGTGAGATATTATGGGGTTTTGATTGCATTCACACACGCATAAACACCTTGAAGTCTCTGTTGGGCTCTGTGGCAGTGCGGTCATTAGACAGGTGGCAGGGCTAAATGGACAAATAAAATGTTTAGTAACACTTAGCCTTCATTAATAAGTCATTATATAAATAATTCTAAACATTATATAATTAAGCAGTTAGTTACAAGTAGGGTTGGGTATCGTTTGGTTTTTTTTCGATACCGGTGCCAAATCGATACTTTTAAAACGGTTCCGGTGCCTAAACAGTGCCTGAACCGATACTTATATAAAAAAAAAATAATACAAAATTCCCCCAAAAATGATGGATTGGCCATTAGCACTATACACACATGATGTCTGTTTCATTCATACTGGCGCCCTCTCCCAGAAAATCCACATATCCAGTCACAGAAGTAGCGGAACTCATGACCCTCCAGGAAATCCCTAATATGGACAAAGACATCGCTATTATAGCTGTAACAGAGTAAACAGAACATATAAACGTTTTGAATGATAAAACAAAGACAATAAACACTCGACTGCGACAATATAGTTTATCTGTGTTATTCAAGCCATCTCTGGTATTTTCATAATAATTAAGTATATTTATAATCCATTGCTAATCGATGTATTCTTTTTAAAGTAGCCTATGGAACATATTTTCTGCCTCATTCTGTGACAAGGAAGCATTTGACTGGTGTTGTGGAGTAAAAAGGTTATAATGTTTTTTTTTGTTCAACAAGTTTAGAAATGTGAATACAAGGGAAGTTTACCTTTAGGCATTTTAATTTAAGCATGTTTAGCTTAGTTAATGGAAGGCTACCTGCTGCCATCAGAGCAAGTGTAATTACTGCATTCA